CTCCAGCAAATGAACCTCTACCAGCAAATGAGCCTCACCATGTCTCACCATGCCAATAATTAGACAGCTCCCTACACATCTGAAATCTTTCTGCTTGACAATTTAGCAAGACAACTTTTTCTTTCTCCCTACTGGGGAATGAAAAGCAGCTGACTAGTATGTCCTTTTTTCAACAGTCATTTAGGTGTCCAAAAATTTATCTTGTTCTCTTTCATCATTTTTTTAGATAAGGGAAATCTTCATTTTTCATTTTTCTTTTCCAAATCCTTCTTTCCTTTCTGAATCTCTGTCCCATATCCCAGGGGAACTCTTCCCAGGCATGGATGGGTATAATGGTGCTCTGTCCCAAGCTGAAGACAGGGTCACAGAAGTTCACGAACTCATCTTATGCAGACTGTGATCGAGGTTGAACATATCTCTGAAACGACCACATGGCAGAGAGTAGTGGCACTATTTCCCACCCTGCTGCAGCATTAGGAAGTCTTGGAAGTCTACACTCACTGAGGCAGTTGAGAGGATGTCACAGCAAATGGCCCCATTCCCAGGGAGCACTAATGTGCACAATGGTGTAAGGGTACAGGCTAGGAGCAGCCTGCCCATGAATTTGTAGTCATGGTCACACCAACGGCTAGAGGAAGAAGAATAGACCCTGCTGGAGCTGAAGAGTTCAAAAATCAAGTGCTGATAATTATAGCACCAGCAGCAGGCAAACATTTTATCTGCTGAGTAGGGTGAAGGTTGATAGGGGCAGAGGATTAGTACCTGCAGCAAGGAGAATGTATCTTTCAACATAAGTTTTCCATCTGTCCTCTAAGGTGGTTTGTAGTGGCACCCTGTCCAAAACCATCACTCAGGGCTTTGCTTGTCCAGACAGGAAGAGTGAATGGGGCAGGATTGGTAAGAGATGGAGGGAGCTTGTAAATCAAAGGGCTCTGTGGGGTGGCACAAGAACTTGGTGTTATGAGTGTCATGGAAAGGTGCTCTGAATCCCCAGTGACACACCTAAGAAAAGTGACTGAGCACAAACTAGCCACAGAAGTGATGCCAAACTCACTAGTAATTAAAGTAGAGAAAGAATCTGAAAGAGGGCCTCAAAGTTCATAACATTTGTGTCACTGCCAGGTTTGCTGGGGGAAAGTGAGGAAAAAGATGGGAGGATATGGGAGCTAAATGGGACAGGACTGTTGTCAGGGAGCTAGTGGGATAGGACTCAGTAGAGAAGGAGGATGTAAGCAAGAGCTGGAGATAGCAGCACTTGCTAGTTCTCACAAAGGGATCACGAACCCAGAAATAACTCCTCATCATATGTGGAATCATAAGAGAGCAGAAGAAAAATGCAAATAGTGAAGAAAAACACTGGGTGAAATCTCTTCCCACACAAAATATCCCAACCCACTGACACAAAACCTAGAGTAGTACTGACCCTCTGGTGCACTTTGCAAGACACCTGGCCCTCATTCATCACTGCACTGAGCCATGGTCCTTCATGGGACATAACAGCAGACATCCTTCAACCACCTCCATCTGCACACCTGCACCTCTATGATAAACAACAGGGGCATCTAGGCACCCAAAACACACCTAGGCTATCTGGCCAGTGAAGCAAAGAGCTTTACTAACCAGCTGATGAAAAGGTAGTGCGGAAAGGCGTGCAGCGTTCTGCCCCCAAGGAGCAGAGTACAGAGAAGTGAATGAAATTCAGCACATTTGCTTATCATGATGAATCGTTACTCATGGTTAAGACAAGCAAGAGAGCTCAAGTTACTGGCCCCTTGCAGAAAGTGGGTTTTCTTCTTGTTCTTTCATGATTGTCAGCCCTACAAGGCTTCCGTTTGTCTGAAGCACTCATGAGGAGATTTATGATCATCAGAGTCTGGGGGCAGCTGCAGCTCCTCTGGAAAATTAATTCCTGTTCTGAAATAACTGGTGAGGTTGTGAAGATACTTATTGGGGGGAAAAATCAAAATCGCAAAAGATTTCACAGACCTGAAATCCTGAAACAGTTCAGTCACTGTCTGGATCTTTGCTGCTCAGAAAATGGAAGACTTCACACCTATTTTAAAACATATCTTTTTATATATACTCCATGAGACATACCCTCAAAATCCATTTGCCATCTTTCAAGAATCAAATGTGCCAAGCTGTAGAGATCTGCAAGCTGTGTTACTAAATCCAGAGGAGGCTAACAGAAATGATCAGAAGACTAGAAAACATGACCTACCAAGAGGGACTGAACAAATTCATGTTTAACCTACACTAGAGATGACTGGGAGACAACATGATAGAAGACTTCAAACCCACATGGGGATGATAAGAAGTGGTAGAGAATAAACAATTCCCTATGTCCATTAGGGAGACACAAAGTATTCAACTGCAGCCAGGGAAATCAAGGTTAGACATTATAAAAAATTAGCAGGGTAAGGAGAAAGAAGACGTAGAAGAGATTGACTTGGGATTTCATGGGATTTGTAGCATTGAAGGTCTCTCAGAACAGGTGAGACAAACATCTGTCAGGAATAATTTCAGTCTAGTTAAACCCTCTCATGGGGCACAGGGAGGGACTAGTTGACCTCTTGATGTTCCTTCCAGGCATAGCATCTGATTATAAATAAAAGTGTGTAGTTAAGGTTGAGCTACAGTGAATGCAACTGGACCAAATCAGTGTTTCCCACTCAGACTTTCATCTCATGTCTCCTACTGCTTGTTTGCCTAAAAGTTCCCAGGATGAAGCACCTTGCTATTTACATTAAATTAGTGAGAATTTGGATAATGTTCTAAAGCACCATAAAGGTATTGAAATCATGTACTAAAAATATATTAATAATTTCTTGTATTGTGGCATTGCCTGGGAGCTGCTGTTAAGGGCAATTTGTGTTGCCTGACTCTTTGCAAACATGGAACAACACTATGATCTTTGTCATAAAGATCTCTGCTTCACACTTATATTCTTATGTTTGCACTCCTGCTGAATGGAAAAAAAAATTAAGAGCATGAGGTTCCAGGTATGAAAGGTTTTGGTCTGTGATCAGAACATGCTGGAGATTACTTCAGTGTCTTCCAGAAAGACTCTCCCAGCATAAAATTCAACCAGTTCAGAGTTTCATTATAATAATCTTATCTTCTCTGAGGAAGACACTTACTTCAAGATAAAACATTTGTGTCCAGGAAGCACTACATGTTTTTCTTACCACTAATACCACAGTTCATCATAGCCTCATTTCAGTCCAGCCCCAGCTCCTATGAAATTAAGGATTGGGTTTTTTTAATGGATGCCAAGTAGTCCTCACAGACAGCAGGGTTCAAGCAGGTCACAGATCTAACCCCAACACTCTTGATAACCAGGATCCCTTCCACTAATTGTCTGGTTCATCTGCCAGAGAATGAACAACCTTTCTTACCACTGACGGAAGCCACCAAGCCTTCACGAGGGTGTGAAGCATGTGACAGGCAAGATAAAAACAGGACTGTATTTAGCCGTGCCTCCCCAGAGACTGCAAAGCATTCCAGCAACAGATTCCCACAGCCAGGCCTGCTAATAACCCCTAGGAGGATTCATGCTGCTACTGCTTCATTTTTCCTTCTCTGACGATGTAGTTTTCCCCCGTGAGAACAAATGTGGTGCCAGCTAGGAACAAATCCTCCTGGACTTTTCCTGGTAAGCTTTAATGAAGTCAAGTGACGGACCGAGCCTGACGTGAGGTCTCTACAGCCTGAGCTTTGCATGTCCACCCCTGTGCAGTATCTAGACAGCCTGCCTTCAGCTATGTCCAAGAGCTGTCCATGCATGCTATGCCATGCCCTTTGTTTCCTCACACTCCTGGCCCACTGAGACCTCTTCTGACTCTGCCAGACCACACACCCTCATCTGGTCTGAACGGTGGTAGACACGGTTCATGAGGTAGAGAGGTCCTCCTGGAAACCAGGCACAAGCTAGGGGCTTTCACCTTCTTCCCAAATTCCTGCAACTACTGGGAGACCCTAGTGCCTGCCAGGCACTGAAGTGTTGCTCTTCTGTCTCATTCACAAGCTGTAAGTTTTCTGAATACACTTCTCCTGACAGTTCCCCATTTCATTCTTATTTCCCCATTAATTTCTTCTTCACTTTCACCAAGCAAGTCACTTGCAAGTCCATGCAGAGAACAAGCAGGCAAAGGAGAGAAAGTTTTCTGTGCATGGTGGGACAAAGGGGCATTTTTCTAAGCCATACACATGGTTGCATACAGACCAACTTCTGCTTCATATCTATCGAGTGTTCTGATAATTCTCCTTCCTTTGCTCTGACTTCTCACACCCAAAACTTTTTTTATATCTCATTTTCTTAGCCCTTAAACTACCCCCTCTGCTTCAACAGAAACCCTTTGGGAATGCTTGTTTGGAGCCTGGACCACTGACATTTATGTGGGAGGTGAAATGAACCAAATCTTCCCACTAACTCAGAAATTCACACCATTTCTAAAATGGTGCTTTGGGTTACATGCAAATTATTCCAAAATATGCAAATTTGGATCTTTGAACAACTCAATATGATCTCACGTTCACATCCTATTTAATGTACAATCCCATTGCAAGGGACACTGGCCAGATATATCAAGCACAGTTAATACTGGCATAAATTACTAAGTGTGGCTGTAGCTCAATCATAGTCACTTAGTGTACAGAACTTCACTGCCACCAAGCCATACAGAGAAATATTTTCTGTCTCAGCCATTGAAACTCATGGCACAGAGGAGGTATCTTCTCTGAAAGGCCAGGAAACTTATGTTCAGAGATCACAGAAAGGAAGCTGATGAATTTTTTATGCATGCTAATGGAAGACTGTAATGGCATCCTTCATGGAGAAGACAGCAACCTGGGCACTGGAGATACCACTGGTCCGGGAAACAAGAAGCAGATTGCCAGCCCTTGATAAGAAGTACAGAAAGGTGGGGAGGATTATTTGCCCAGAGCCTTCCCCCTTCTTCTTCCCTGACAGAGATGGAGAATGACCAAACATATCCTACCCTCTCCCACTTCCTCTCCTTGGTCAAAAGGATGATGACCAGCTTGGGATGCATCTGGTATCCGTCCTCACTGAACGACAAATTCCTGCCTTCAAAGGTGACATTGATCAGGTACCTGTGGGAGAGAGAAGAGAGCAAGGAGAACATTAATGCTTGGAAACCAAACCCAAAACGAGACCCTGCCTCCCGTCTTCAGCTCACACCAGGAGAGTAGAAACACAGTGCAAAATAATGGAAAATCTTAGGGGAAGGGAGTTAGAAAAACAGGACAATTAGTCCAGAAATTGGGACAATCAGGAAAGGCAGGGAAATTGCCCCCATTTTGTGACTGGGATAGCAAAGTGATATACTGTGTTGGCTCTCAATGAATTCCTAAAAGCATGTCTAAGAGTCACACACATGTATGCCCACAGACCTTCTCTGGTTTTCCTCTGCCTCAAAGGGCAGAGGGATCCTTAGCAATCAGATGTGTAAACACACTCCACAGCCTACACTTTGCTCACTCTCCAAAGGGGATTTTGCATGCCACTTCAGGACAGTGATGGGAGACAGGTGAAGCAGTGGAGACAGCCTCCCGCCTGCCCAAATATCAAGGAAGCAGCGGAGACCAGAGGAAGGAGCAGCACACCTGCAAGCAGCTCTATCCCTATCAGAGCCAGCACACCTCATGGGGCCCAGAGTGATCCTGTGAAGGAGCTTAGGAATAGGGATAAGGATGTTGAAAGAGCCCAGTGACCTAGGGACAGAGTCGAGCCTTACACCCAGTAAAATCAAACTAAAGGGTGATCAGCCCTGCAGCCAACATCAGCAATTCTCTTTGTCTGGAAAGGCCCCGTCACTCCTGCAGAAGGCACTCCCTGTTGGGGCATTTCATGTCAGCTGTACAAATGGACAGTTAAACAGTCCAGGCTTCAATCTCATTTATTCTATGTATTAATTTTATTTATTATTTTATTAATTTTATTTATTATTTATTCATAAAGCCTCCTTACTCAGCTCTGGCAATAGGGAAGGCCTTTAAGTGGACTGAGATTACAGCTACACTCATTTCAAGGCCTTGTTGCATTGTGAAAGCATGTTAAAGGGGTTTTGCTGTAAATAAGAATCAGGTCTATTGTTTTCTTAACTGTCAGACCATCTAGAAATACACTGCAGGGAAGAGGAGGTAAATACACATTTCACAGTTCAGTGGTTTATATGACATCACCATGGCACTCTGACAGTTTACCCTGTTCATATATTTCACTTCAATTCACAATCCTGTTGCATGAAGTAGATTTTACCTTTGTAAATCTGCTCTGGCACCAGTAGCATCACATCACCATGAGAGGCAGAGGTGACCAAGCTGCCTGCAGGGCTGGTCCCTGGACTCTGAAGCACTCCCCTACTTTGCACAGTTCTATAAATTACACAATCAACATTTCTATTACAGACATGAGAGGTTTTCTATTCTATTACACCATGACATCAGGAAACATTTCCTAATATTCAGCTTCAATTTGTCCGTTATAAACTCAATTTGAACCAATTTCAAGAAAATAAATAAGAGGGGGAAAAAAATATGTTCTTTCAGTGGGTTGATGCTTTCCTACTATCTACACAAAGAGACCTCCCTGCTAATCTAAAGAAATCATTGTATCAGGGAAACATCTTCAAACAAATAAAAAAGCAGGTCATTATTTCAGTTTCTTCCTTTTTCAAACTTTTTTGTTTTAACTCCATTAATCAACCAAACTCATCTACTAACTCCCCATTGCCAAGTGCAATCAGCAGTTATGTTTATTTCTAAAGGAAAATCCACACTTGCTCCATGTTGTGACCTTCAAGGGACGTGTTCAGCACTGGAAATACAGCCATAAGGGAGCCCAGCATGAAACATCTGCAACAGGACAATTTTCAAAGGCAGACTACTGGTTATTTTCCAAAACCCAAAGCCATTTGGAACCCAAACATTGAGCGAACCCTAAAACATCCTCCGCCTGGAAAATCTTAGCCATGCAATTGTTTGTAATATCATAAAACATCCCATGTCAGGACCACACAAGCTCTTTTTCTGGCTTTTTTTTCCCCCAGCTGTGTGAATTGTTCTGGTACTGAGGAATGCCAGGCACAGACCATTGCCAGGTGTGTGCACCCTACAAGACCTAGTTAAGGCTCTGGTGGTGGTGGGAGGGATCTTCCAGTGGACCAAGATTACAGTTTCATGACTTCTTTGCACTGGTCACCAGAGTAAAGACAAAGACGATGAGGATGCCATTAGCCTGATGGGAGTTGCAGCTTTATATGTCAGTAGTGAGTAAGCAATGCCAACATCTAATTAAACAAACACCAATATTAAACCGTTCTCCATCCTCTTTCTCCTCACACCCAAGAACAATTCCACTACAGGAATCTCCCTTGCACATCTTGACAAGAAGAGTTCACAGAAACCTGCACAGATATGAGACAAGAGGGTGTCATTTATGCTCATTTTCACTGGAAAGATTAGAACGTCTAATAATAATCAAGGCGGGATCATCAATGACTCCAATCCTTGGAGCTGCCTTGAGATTTACACTTAAAGCAGCACTAAAATCCCTTGCTTCACACCTTAATGACTGCAATTAGTCTCCAAATTTGGCAATATAACTCTTCAGAGTGTTTTCTCTCCAACCCATTAGCAATATGTTTACAAAAGTTTGCAGTAGAAGTGCAGAAGAAGTGGCATCCCCCCCAGCTTTCCCTGCTCTCCTGTACCTATGCTGCCAGCTAACACAGGGATGCAGGGCGAGAGCAGCTCACAGGGAGCTGCAGGGCTTGCTCGGGTGCACTGAGCCTATGTGACAAAGCATCAGGGCTTGAAGGACTCCCAGGCAGGCCGAGTCAGCAGCATGCTGCAAGGCAGCCACACTCGAGTGGCTCTGCCCTCCATCATTACTGCAGCAGCAGTCATCCCCTTTGGCAGCACTGCTGCCCTGGTGCACCAGCACCACTGCTGCCTGCTCTGGCCAGGGGGATTTGGTTCCTCTCTACAGCCTACACACACTCCAGTCCCTAAGCAGGCAGGCAGGGGCTGAGAGATTCCCTGACATGTCTGAACTGAGCCACCAGATGTAATGGGGGCACAACATGAGGGCAAGCAGGTTGTGCATGCAGGTGACATAAACCAGGAGAAAACTGCACCTGTAAAAAAAAAATCTTAATCCCTGCATGTTTGGCACTCCAAGATGGAAAGAGTTAGAGAAACAGAAAGGAGGCATGGTGGGGGCTGACACAGACAATTTAATTTAATTTGCTATAAGCACCTTCCAGAAAAAGATTTTGCTTATGTGGCAGTTTCTGGAACTACTTCATGCAAGCACAGAAGGGTTGAGCCCTTCGCCAGCCCAGTGGCGATGCAGCGGATGCAATGCCCAAACTCAAACGGTGAGAGCAAAACATACACAGCCTGTGGAAACAGGCTGACACCGTGAGCCCTGTGGTATGGACAAGCAAGCAGGAGCAAAGGAACATGCCCTTGGGCACAAAGCAAATTAGACCCAGGGGGACCTAAGCCCCATCCTGGGCTCTGAGGTAACATCACCCATCCTAGATGTAAATCTGTCAACCCTGCAAGTTAAAGGAGAGTGTTTTAAAGCATAGCAAATAGAGCATTAAAACCACATTAGATGGCCAATTTAGGACCAGCAGAGAGATGATGGCATTTTAAATGGTTTCAGCCGTGATGGAGAAAGCCTGGAGAGGCAAATGGTGGGCGCAGGGGGCTTGAGGGAACACACAAAGGGTGCTAAACAAATTTTTTTCTGCTCCGAGACAGGTGTGAAGGAGACACATTTGAAATCAGCACTAGCCACTCCTACTTCTGCCTCTAGTGCCTTGCTTGGAATCAGCTCCTCCTAAGCCTGCTGACTGGAGGGGTAAATCTGGACACTGCATCAGTTCACTCCATCACATTTCCCTGCCTCACATATGTGCAGCACACACACAAACACACACCCTCCCCTGCGTCCTGTCAGTGCTTGTTATGCTTCAGTGAGACAAGCAGTCTGTCTGAAATGGCGTGATTATCCTTCCATCGATCGCTCCCCTGAATAAGACAGACCATAAAAATAAAACAGCCTCTCCACAGTCAGCACAGGGGAGTCATCTCAGCAGCCCAGCACACAAGGGAAAAATAAGGTGTAGATGGAGGGTGGGGAAGGAAAAGCTGTGGGATACTTTTTACCTTTGCAGGGTAAAAGGCAGGTGGAATGTGATGCAGGATAAAGGGATAGGGATGCATACCACCACCATCCTGTCTGGAATCTCTCTGTAATGGGAAACACTGAGGCAAATCATAATAGCAGTGAGATGAAAGCAGTGAAAGGCCTTTACTCCACAGAATTTTCATGATGAAATAGCTTTTTTTTCCCCCCCTAGAGACAGTGTTAAAAATTCACCAGTCTGAGGTATCAGGGAACAGACCCACTTCATGCCCAGGAAGGAGCAAAAAAGCAAAAGCTTGTTACTGCATTTTAGTAGAAGTGCCCACAGCTCCAAACCATATTCCCTCTCTCAGCACCAGCAAGACCAACCCAGCCTTGCCTGATGCAAACAACCAGGGCAGAGTACATCAATCCTGTCCTGCAGCAGGGTCCTGCCCATCCCCACGCCTGCTCCTGAACAAGGATGGACAGACAAAAGGTTGGGTGGATCAAAGGACAGGGAAAAGGGAGCCTAGGACCACTATACTGATCTACAAATGGGAATTCTAACCTTCAAGGGGCAAGTGATTGACAGATAAAAGACTTAACCAGTGCTAACTCTGCTGTTAGCGCCTTCATCTGAGTGACTCAAGTAGTGTTCATTTTTTTTAATGAGAAAACCGCAACTGATCCCTTTCACTTCTGACTTATACCTCCATTCTCCAAACCCATGGAAAGCTTAAAATAATACAGATATTATTTCTCTATACCATTGTTCAAAATTTCTGTGGCTGCCTCTGCCTCTGAGCACAGCCAACTTGGACACAAGAGCCATCCAGACCCAGCAGTGCGTGCATGAGTTCTCTTGAGGTAAGACAGGCTCCTCAGGATATCAAACCCAATTGTTCACCCCAAAAAAAGGCAAAACCAGGCTCTGCCTGGACCGTTGATC